AATATTCTGTGGACTGATGAGACAAAAGTTGAACTTTTTGGAAGGTGTGTGTCCCGTTACATCTGGCGTAAAACCAACACAGCATTTCATAAAAAGAGCATCATAGCAACAGTTAAATATGGTGGACGTAGTGTGATGGTCTGGGGCTGCTCTGCAGCTTCAGGACCTGGATGACTCACCATAATTGATGGAAGCATGAATTCTGCGCTCTATCAGAAAATCCTGAACGAGAATGCCCGGCCGTCAGTTTGTGACCTCAAGCTCAAGAGCACTTGGGTTATGCAGCAGGACAATGATCCCAAACACACCAGCAAGTTCACCTCTGAATGTTTCAAGAAAAACAAAATAAAGGTTTTGGAGTGGCCAAGTCAAAGTCCGGACTTAAATCTGATTGAGATTTGTGAGATTTGTCTGTGGCATGACCTTAAACAGTCCATTCATGCTCGAAAACCCTCCAGTGTGGCTGAATTAAAACAATTCTGCAAAGAAGAGTGGGAGCAAATTCCTCCACAGAGATGTGAAAGGCCCTTTGCCAGTTATCACAAACGCTTGATTGCAGTTGTTGCTGCAAAGGGTGGCACAACCAGTTATTAGATTTGGGGGCAATTACTTTTTCACGCAGTGCCAAGCAGGTTTGGACAGCTTTTTTCCCTTAACAAATGAAATCATAATTTCAAAATTCCATTTTGTATTTACTCTGGTTATCTTTGTGTAATATTAAAATTTGTTTGATGATCTGAATCTTTTTAGTGTGACAAATATGCAAAAAATTGAAAAAACAGGAAGGGGGCAAAAACATTTTCATGGCACTATATATACAGTGCTGCTTGAAAGTTTGTGAACCTTTTAGAATGTTCTATATTTCGGTACTTGCATTATCTTTGTGTAATATTAAAATTTGTTTGATGATCTGAATCTTTTTAGTGTGACAAATATGCAAAAAATTGAAAAAACAGGAAGGGGGCAAAAACATTTTCATGGCACTATATATACAGTGCTGCTTGAAAGTTTGTGAACCTTTTAGAATGTTCTATATTTCGGCATAAATATGACCCAAAACATAATCAGATTTTCACTAGGGTTGTGTATCGTTTGGGTTTTTTACGATACCGGTGCCAAATCGATACTTTTAAAACGGTACCGGTGCCTGACCGATACTTAAAAAAAAAAAATAATAAAAAAAAAAACAAAATAGGATGGATTGGCCATTATTGAGCGCTATAAACACATTTAATGTCGGTTTCATAAATACTGGACGCCAGAGAGTGCCCTCGCGCAGAAATTCCACATGTGCATCACAGAAGTAATAGGACTCAGGAAATCCCTATACTCTTTGCTAATATGGATAAAGGCATTGCTATCGCTGTAACTGAGTAAACAGAAGATATAAACATTTTGAATGATAAAACAAAGACAATAAACACTCGACTCTAACAATTTATAGTTTATCTGTGTTATTCAAGCCATGGTATTTTCATCATAATTAAATATATTTATAATCCATTGCTAATCGAAATAGCCTTTTTACCATATGTTTTTTACAGTATAGAACATATTTTCTGACTCATTCTGTGACAAGAAGCCACATCAGATCACAAAAGGAAGCAGTTGTGGAGTAAAAACTTTATAGTGTTCTTTTGTTGGACAACAGGTTTATAAATGCTTCTCATTGCAAGTCATTACAAGGGAAGTTTAGCTTTAGTAGAGTGACCATATTTTAGTTTTTCAAAAAGAGGACAGTAGGGGGCGGGTTTGTGGGCGGGGCTTCGCCTAACAGTATAAGTAGCAAGGATTTTTTTTGTTTGCTTATTTTGTTTTTATAATAAATAAAAAGAAAACAAGTAGAAATAATATATAATGCAAGTGTTAGAAGGTCATTATAATAAATACGGGAAAATCAACCCATGGCAACAGTTTAAAAGTATCCCAATTCTGTGGGAAAAAAAGCAGACTTGGCAACCCTGCATCCAACAAGAGCTGCAGGAGTCAGATTTGACTGATCACAGGTCGAGAATAAGGAGAGATGACTGACAAGACCATGCTTGAGTATCTTGTAAGATGTGCTCCCTTTACACAGAGTGCGTGTGTACACGAAATTGAAAGTGAAAGTAAACTGCACAAACGCTCATTCAAAAATATTTAAATACACCGCATCCTGAGAGCAGCTCCCTGATGCGCCACAATTATACACAATATTAGAATGTTTAAAGGATTGGACACGAAAATCGCGGGAGCAGGCGGAAATGGTCAGAGATTCAGCAAGAGCGGGATTAAGAAAACAGCCAAATCCGGACATTTTGGGCAATTAAGAAATCCCGGCCAGACGCATTTTTGTAGGCCCAAAAAGAGGACATGTCCGGGGAAAAGAGGACGTATGGTCACCCTAGCTTTAGGCATTTTAATTTAAGAATGTTTAGCTTAGCTAGCTAACGGTATCTACCTGCTGCCATCAGAGCAAGTGTAATTACTGCATTCACGCGCTCCTCGGATGCTC